CATACATACATACGTACATACATACATACATACATACATACATACATACATACATATATATATATATAAATATGTATGCATCTGTATATATGTGGACTTGTAGTGGTATGTTTATCCTGGAAGATTCCATTTTAAGTGCCTTTGCACCGTCGCATTCAACAGAATACTCGCAGAGCGATGAGGCAGTGTGGAGACCATTGACCCAGCCCATGGAAGAGGCTAAGGATGAATTCGATGAGGAGAACGAGAAGGCAATGCCTGATGTCAGCGATGGTGTGTACACTTAGTTATACATCTATGATATGTGTACGCGAGAGAGATTTAATTGTGTTTTAGATCATCGTGTCTTGTCGTGCGTACTTAGAGGAGAACGAGAAGGCAATGACCGATGTCAGCGATGGTGTGTACACTTAGTTATACATGTACGATATATGTACGCGAGAGAGATTTATTTGTGTTTTAGATCATTGTGTCTTGTCGTGCGTACTTAGAGGAGAACGAGAAGGCAATGCCCGATGTCAGCGATGACGTGTTCACATGATTACCCATGTACGATGCGTGCGCTTGAATGGTATGATTATTCTATAGATATGGAACAGATGAAAGGAATACCAATACATACGGCTGTGTGCGACCATGATCCAGACGCAGATTCCTTGACTGTAACCAGCACGTCGCCAGATAGCCCGACGGTGTGTATAAACCCTTGATTGATTCCCGTACTCTTATTTTTGTTACGTTTTGCTCTACGCCTAGTTGCCAAGACTACCACAGATAAACCAGCCGAGAGCGCAACTGAAACTGCTGTAGGAGCTACCACCACTCCCCCAATTGAAACGGAAATGGAAACGGAAACGGAAACGGCGACCGAAGCCGTACCAGCAACTGATAGTGAGAACGTGTCCGCACCGTAGCGGATATAAACTGATCGATAATAATAAACTAGTTGCGAGTAGAAACATCAAGCTATCCGTCGTATGTAGCAGTTTGTGGCAGTGTGTGGAAGGTGATCGAGTACTTAGAGTAGGCTTGGCGCAATGCTGACTGAATACGAGCAAGGCCGCAACGGCCGTATCAGGAGTACAGTACATACAACAGGCTGGTTACATAGGCTGAGCCCCACATTAATTGAGAAACATATCATTTGCAAATGTTAAGTAGTAGAGTGCGGGAAGGAGAGATAGCCGTTCAAGTAACCCGTATTAGTAACAAATCCCGTCAGAAAGACACAGGAGTTAATCACGTTAGAAATGCTGGCTGTAGAAGCTGAACACACCGAAAAGTGACCTATGCAATACTTGGAGGGGTCAGCAACAGAACGTGAGAAGGAGAGGTCGAGGTACGTATAAGCATAAGCTGCCTGTAGCGGTGGAAACTCAGACCAGATTGACTGGTTATCTTATGAGAGCTATGTAGCCATCCCAGACTTTGAAATACATGAAAATTAGATGATCATGCAGGTTGCGGAAAGTAGAGGTCAAGATATCGGGTGCCCGAATCGGAGGCGAAGTGCAATGGATAGGACCGGTTCGAAGACCAAACGCTCTCCAAATTCTGGTACAGTCAGTTGGCCCGTAACAGTAGTCGGTAGTGGGCAAGTGAGTTGCGCGATGTAAACTCTCAGGTGCGCATGCTTTATCAGGCGATACATCATAGTATGTGCAAGTATGTCAGACATCGGTGTCACATTCGTATACCGGTGTGGTATAGAAGGACTAAATATCGTGTCACATTCGTATACTGTTGTGGCATGGAAGGATCACAAACCTTAAGCTAGCGCGTAAACATCAAGTTCAGATGCTTCTCCATATCTCTTACACTACGAAAGCTGTCCCCTGAATTTTGTATTGCCAATGACGTTGATACTAATACAAAGTTGAGCGCTAACTTTGCCTTGGGCCCACGTACGTGATCGTTTACAGGCGTGCTTAAAACTAACTTTGACGACTTAGACATTCGTCCCATCTGTTCAAAGCATACTACCCAAAGCCGTATTCCATATATATATATATATATATTCATATATATACATATACATACATACATACATACATACTAAATACAAATACACAAATACACACACACATATATATAACAATATAATAAAAAATAATATAAAACGTATATAATAATAAAAATAATAATATATATATATATATAATAGTAACAACAACAACAACAACAATAATAATAATAATAATAGTAATATATGAAGTTCACTCTACTCCATATGTCTGCACTTCACCCTGTCTCGCCCAAATTTATTCTACACATAAAAAGTTCAATATACTCTATCCGGAGTACGAAGGCCGAAACATCTCTCAGTCGCTTGCGCCTACCCAAACTTACTATATACACACTTCGGCACTCCATCCTGCAGAACACAACCAGACCTGTATGACGCATCGTCTTCGTGTGCAATACAGACGTCTTGCTCGGCACAGAGATCAGTGGTGCACCGGGGCGCTCCAGTGCTCATATCCAGCGCACATACCTGACCAGTAGGACACTCCTTCGTAGCACACACCTTCACACACACTTCGTCCACACAGTGACTACCGAACGCACACTCCTGCTGACCACACGAGTCTGTGTGTAACATTGAGACAACGTCGGATTGTGTCAGTTTCGGTTTCATCAACGTCTCCGCTGACGGCTTCTGGAGCACGGGTTTTGTGGTCGTATCGTCCGGGCCAACATGTCCAAACTTACTGTATATACACTTGGGCGCCCCGCTCTCCTCAATACAAGCAGTTCGGTACGAGGGGTCCCCTGCATGCGCATTGCACTCATAGGTATCACATGTTGCGGCTGTGGGAGGGTTGGCGGCCGCGAACTTGCTGTACACACACTTAGCCTGGCCACTCTCCTCAACGCATGTCGATCTGTATGATGTATCTCCCTCATGCGCATTGCAGGCGACACTCTCGCAGGCGTTGTGCGTGACTGGGGTGGTAACCCCAAACCTACTGTATACACACTCGGGCATCCCATTGTTCGCAATACACGCCGATCGGAACGAAGCATCGCCCTCGTGTTCGTTGCATACCAGGTCGTCACATGTGCTGGTTCCTGCGGTCGTACCGAATTTGCTGTATACGCACTCGGCGAGGCCTTTCTTCTCAATACATGAAGATCTGTACGAATCATCACCAGCATGCTCATCACAAACAACACCATCACATACAGACTGTGGGATATCCTTGGCGCTTCCGAATTTGCTGTATACGCACTCGACAACTCCGTTCTTCTCAATACATGAGGATCTGTATGAATCATCGCCAGCATGCTCATCACAAACAACACCATCACATACAGACTGTGGGGTATCTTTGGCGCTTCCGAATTTGCTGTATACGCACTCGGCGACTCCGTTCTTCTCGATACATGAGGATCTGTATGATTCATCGCCAGCATGCTCATCACAAACAACACCATCACATACAGACTGTGGGGTATCCTCGGCACCTCCAAATTTGCTATATACACACTCGGGCACCCCATTATTTTCAATACATGCGGATCTGTACGAATCATCACCGGCATGCTCATCACAAACAACATCATCACACGAAGGACTCGGGACTGCTTCGGCTGTGTCAAACTTGCTGTACACACACTCCGGCACTCCATCATTTTCAACACATGCGGACCTATAACGAGCATCAGCGGCATGCTCATCACAGACTAAGTCGTCGCATGTTACGCTGGGAACGATTTCTGCTCTGGCAAGTTGCTCCACAGAATCACCACTTCTACTACACGTCGGTGTCCCGTTTTCCATCTCACATTCTAAATCGGTACTGCATATGAAGGTATCACACGTTGATCCGACAGGCGACAGATTGATCATACCATCATCCTCGTCACACGAGGGCTGGTTGTTTTCGTCCAGAGTGCATACGTCACCTTTCTCACAAATGAATGTGGCGCAAGGAGAGTCTTGTGTATCTATAATATCATCTTCGTCACATCGACAGAGGGTACACCCATTACTATCCTTGGCCCATTTCTTGCACTCCAGATCGCATGACGAGGGAGGTCTGCGTGCATGGCACACACATTCAGGACGTATATCATTCGCAGTGTTATAACATTCACCCACACAGTTCAATAGCTCACCATTAGCGCCGCAATCACACTCCTTGCACGTATCAACATACTTCAGGCAATTTTTGGTACACTTCCTACCACACGCCACATCTTTGTTGCGTGCAAACTGAGTCCATTCTGTTCTCTCTTGAGTATCAATCTCATCCCAGAGTCTAAATAAATCGCAACCCTCGGTATAACTTTCTCCAGAGGACACGTGCGTTGCACCAGACATGATATAAGCTTTGCGCACACTTGACTGGCTGATAGAACGATCACAATACCGCTGAGTCGGACCTGTACTGCCGTATTGAATAGACATTTTGGTCCCCTTCCCTGTGGTACCTTTATATGCATTCATCACTTTCACCACCAGTGTCTTGGCCTCCTCATCTACTTCTAGGACTCTACCTACCATGGCATACTTCTGATAGTTGTCAGGGTTATTCTGACAAATAATATCCCGATTAGTCTCGACGTCGCAGCATTGTGCGACAGTGGCACGCACCCCACACAACAGTGATATGCCTATAACGGCAGACAAAAGCGAATTCACTTTCATCGCTTTGACCGATGCGTATTGCTTGCTACACACAAGCCAAGCAAGAAGGCATATAGATGATAACAAATATAGTATTACATCCACGTCCTAACTATGTCCAGGTCGAAGTTGGTACATATATATATATATATATATATATATATATTAATATGTGTATATATATGCATACATATATTATGTATTTATATATACATATATTATGTATTTATATATACATATATATGGAGCTAAGCGACAGTGCTGGAACAGTTGTAAATATATGTATTAGCAAGGGTGCGCGTGTATATATGTATATAAAAAGTAAAGCATTTCAGTCCTTGTGCTCTGGGGCGCAGGGCCCCTGGGCCCTGGCGTCTGTGGTAAATTCCACAGCCGGCGAACCCTACAATATGTAGCTCTTTTTATTAATTTCAACAAAATGTAGAGTCTCATCACTGTGGCTGACTGAGGATGGTGACGTTAGTGGTGTGGAACTGTGAAAGAAAAGGGTTTTAGTTCTAAAAAATACTAAATATTTTTAGTTTTTGTAAAGAAAAACAAGTATATATATATTTTATGTTGTTTGCAAAAAACAACAACAATAATTTATGTACAAATCAATCGCCTATGCGTTAAAGTTTAACATCTAGGCTAAAGCAGGAGCAGTTTGTCTTTTTTTACGTTGAATCATTGCTGCGATGAGCCGCGCATTTTAAAATATTGATAATTTAAATATTGGAATTGAACCTTTGGCTTTTAGCATAGCCTTCTTCAGTTCTTCTGGACAATATATTTAAAAATTCAGAAGGCTCGAAGTCGAGGCTATGTATGCTTTTAGTTTTTTGCGTGATGGGAGCAAAACGAATCGACAAGAGGAGCAAACGTTACTCTTCATGAGCAAGTAACTGAAATGTCTGGTCGAACAGCAAAGTTCTCTCTGACACCTTGCCTTTCGACCGCGTCATCATCCAGACTTCCAGAGACCAGAGGCCAGACCACCCGAGGGCCGTGTTTAAAAAAATTAAATACAAATAAAGAGCACAAGCGAAAAGAAAAGCTTTTCTATTTAGATTTTAGGAGGCTATATGGAAAAGCGCGGGAATACATATACAACCAAAGTCCCAAATCTAAGAATTTTATATATATCTATTTCTCGAGACGGAAAAAGGAATTCTTTAATGACCTCTAATAAATACTACATGTTCGCGCATTATCGGCATACATCTCGCTCTATGTACCAGTAGAGTGCGGGGCTATCATATCAATAGGTTTGATTCAGTTAGACAGCGGAATCATGTATTGATGATTTGAAGCTCCGCATCGTATGATATCTCTTACATCGGTAACACCAGATAAGGAATCGAGTACAATGGTGGGAAATGACAGCAAAGAACGCTGGACAAATGTCTCAGCGTTGTTTTTCGCAGGTATGTGAAATGATTGTTTCGTTCTTTATTTCTACCTAGGGATACAGGCATATTCTCTCTCTCTCTCACACACACACACACACACAATCACACACACACACACACACACACACACA